TTTTGGGTTCTTTCTTTGTAAATGTTTATTATATTCCCTAGGTTTATATCATGTCTAAAATTGATATGTCTATGTAGCTCTAAGTCACTGTTTAAAAAACATGAACAGAGCTGGGTGTGATAGTGCATACTTGTAATACCAGCACTCAGGAAGCTGAGGCTGGAAGATTGTCTGAGTTTGAAGCTTACCAGGGCTACAGAGTGAAACCTTGTCTCAAACAAACAAACAAAAAAAAAAAAAAAAAAAAAAAAAAAAAAATCATGTACTAGCAGAGCCAACATTCTTTCAGGAGCCACTAAAAATACCGATATACTAGGCATTGCTCTAACACCTTCTCTTTGCACTGTGCTAGTCACCAGGAAATCACAAATAAATAGAAGCAGTTCTTAGGAGCTCACAGCCTACTTGGCAGAAAGATGCATAGAATAACAGGTGTGGGAATTGCTAGAGTAGAAGAGGAAGAGAGCAGAATGAGAGCACAGATGAGAAGGTGCCTGATATTGCAGGTCAAAAGGTAGAAAGTCCTTCCAGGGTAGTTGTCCTTTAGTCAGAAAGTACAAGGGTACCACCTACCTGCCTGTTTCCCCAGCTTGTTTACAGGGACGTGGAGAGAGACCCTGGCATCTGTCTTCTCTCTACACATTTTTCTAGTCCAGGACTTCTTAAACATTTCCTCTTGCAAACCTCTACCTCTTTTTAAAAAATGATTTATTTACTTTTATTTGTACAAATGTTTTTATTGCTGATATATTTACTGGTATGTGTGTAATGCCCACAAAGGCTGAAAGAGAGGGACAGAGCCACCATATGGGTGTTGAGAACTGAACCTGGGTCCTCTAGAAGAACAGCAAGCACTTCCAACCCCTGAGCCACCTCTCTAGCCCCATTGCAACCCTCTTTGGCCTGAGAAAATTTTACACAACCTTGCATGTATAGATGTATAAATCAAACATTTAATGATAATAAATCACAAATTTATTTTAAGGCAATTCTTTGGTATACATGTAATTTTACCATTGATAAAGCAGCCTGGTCTACATAGGGAGTTTCAGGCCATCTGGGGCTCCAGGGAGACCCTGTCTCAAATAAAATAAAATAAAATAAATAAATTTGCATGCTAATGAGATGAAAGTGCTTATTTTTATATAAAGAATTAAGTCTTGGCTGAACATTTTATACTGTGGGACCTAGAACATCTTTAGTATTTTTCAAAGTTAATTCATATTTTTATTTTATTGTCATTAATGCTGAGAATACCAATTCACATAACTCCATAGTGCAAAACGGAAGAAGTATGTTTTGGATCATTTCAGAAATTGTTGGGATTTCTGTTCTAATTCTAAGCCAAAATTTATTTAATGAATTTATTTTTGGAAATATTTTTTTAATGTGTATGCATGTATTGCCTGCATGTAAGTAAGTGCACCCATGTCATGCAATGCCCACAGAGGTCAGAAGAGGCTGTTGGATCCCCTGAGACTGGAGTTACAGACAGTTGTTAGCTGCCATGTGGGTGCTGGGATTTGAACCCAGGTCTTCTG